AATTTTTTCTTAATTCAAATGGCAATATGATGACGTCAAAATGTCCGATCAGCCAATATGGTCTATAAAATCTTATCTACAACTCATGTGCTCTAAGAATATGTAATAAAAATTGACGGTCACCTTTCATCCTAAGGAGCTATATTTGATTATAAATAGCTTGGCATAATTATAAGCATATGTAATTTTTGACGGACGCGTTCGCGCACGTTAAGACGCGCAAACAAAAAGTAAGATACCTAACATTCAACATTGACCTGAAGTATAAGCCCATTTATTATTATTCAGAAATGACGAATGGTTAAGATGATTTGACGTCATCAACGTTTTGAGAAAAGAAATATATATATATATATATTTAAATTCAAAGGGCAATATGATGACGCCACAATGTTCGATCAGCCATTATGATCTATACAATCGTATCTACAACTCATGTGCTTTCAGAATATGTAATAAAAATTGGGGGTCACCTTTCATCCTAAGGAGTTATATTTGATAATAAATAGGCATAATTTTTAGCATATGTAATATTTGACGCACGCGTACGCGCACGTTAAGACGCGCAAACAAAATAGTAAGATATCTAACATTCAAACTTGATCTGAAGTATAAGCCCATTTAATATTATTCAAAAATGACAAATGGTTAAGATGATATGACGTCATCAACGTTTTGAGAAAAGAAATATAATTTTTTTCTTATTTTTTAATTCAGATGGCAATATGATGACGTCACAATGTCCGATCACCTATTATGATATATAAAATCATATCTACAGCTCATGTGCTTTCAGAATATGTAATAAAAATTGGGGGTTACCTTTCATCCTAAGGAGCTATAACTGATTAAAAAACAACATGATATAAAGCATATTTGATTTTGACGCACGCTAATGCTCGCGTTATTACGCGAGCACAAAAATATAATGTACATAACATTTAACCATGACCTGAAGTTTATGCTCACTAAATAGGATTCAGAAATCACGAATGATTAAGGTGATTATGGGGTCATCAATGTTTTGACGAAAGAAAGATGAGGGGGGTAAACGAAACCCTATATTTTGACCATGATGACGTCATCAAAATGTAAAAGTGTCTCAAATAGGAAAGAGAATTTCCTCAGCTATAACATACTCAAAGTTGGAAAAAAATCAACAAAGAATAAGCGAGATACGCTCAAATGCGCATTTTTTTTAAATGACGTCATCGATAATACTCAGTTTGTTGAATTCAGATGGCAATATGATGACGTCATAATATCCGATCAGCCATTACGACCTATAAAATGATATGTACAACTCATGTGCTTTCAGAATATGTGATAAAAATTGGGGGTCACTACGGAAGCTTAAAGTGACCTTCCGCGTTTCCGAGTTTCCAAGATAATTATCATGGAAACATGGAATAAATACTTAGTAAGACGTCTTTCCGAGATAATTTATCTTGGAAAGAGTGAATTCCAAGATAATTTATCTTGGAAAGACGGAATTCCAAGATAATGTATCTTGGAAAGACGTCTTTCCAAGATAATTTATCTTGGAATTCCGTCTTTCCAGTATAATTTATCTTGGAAAGACGGAATTCCAAGATAACGTATCTTGGAAAGACGTCTTTCCAAGATATGTTATCTTGAAAATACGGAATTCCAAGATAACATCGAGGAGACGAAATTCAAAATTCAAAGATAGCCTGAAAGCTGTAGTAATTATAAGAAAAGTTGAGCTACCTGTAACTTACCAATGGATAGGCCTATATTCAAATATACTCTAGCAGGGACGTAGCCAGGATTTTGAAAGGGGGGGAGCCGTTTTCCGAAGTACGTAGTACCGAGCGGTAATTGATTTGAGAAGGGCGCCCCCTCCCTATGGCTGGGGCTCGCCAAGGGCCCCGCCGGTGGGGTGGGAAAGATGTGTATATTTGTTTACAAAAACGTAATGCAATAATAGCATATTGACTACTATTGTATATTTTCGGAAAATATTTCAGCCGCTCCAAATCTCTTTCCTATTCTTCCTTCTTCCTTTATTCTTTCACAATTTTGTGTTTTAATCATATTTTTCATAATTTTATACATTCACATATAGTAAATTGTTTAGGCCTAGACTAGGCTATACCTCGGCTTGGCTATTACTATATTATTTAAATATACAATTTTGTTAAATAAGATTATTTTAACATTGGAAATTTAAATGTAAATATAATGACGTTAACGAATAAATAACAATAATTAAAACGTGTACATAGGAGCACTACTACAATAATAAGATTAATATTTTTCAATTTTATAATCAATTTTATATAGCCGGGGTTAGTATTGACCTAGGCTAATATGGCTAACGACAGGTACGCTTTCTCCAATAAAGGCCTTTTCTATGAATGGATTGACCTGTACGAAACACGAAATCCTGAAGACCGAACCCAGTACCGTTACGATTTTAATCGTGCAGGAAATATCCGCAAAATGTATCTTGGAAAGACGTCTTTCCAAGATAACGTATCTTGGAATTCCGTCTTTCCAAGATAACGTATCTTGGAATTCCGTCTTTCCAAGATAATTTATCTTGGAATTCCGTCTTTCCAAGATACGTTATCTTGGAATTCCGTCTTTCCAAGATACGTTATCATTGAATTCCGTC